TTCTGGCTCAGAGAGAAGACTTTCAGGTTCCCGGAACGCTGATAAAATCTGAGCTACGCAAAGATCCTGATTATTTGGAGTTCACTAGGAAAGTGGTTCCATTTTGAGACGGTCGTTGCTCCTCTAATGTCCGATGTTCATTCTGGTTTTACAGACATGGCCATTTGTGGTCTCAGGGCGACCCGATTCTGACACCAAAGAAGTTTCTGCAGCCAGCAGACTGTGTGGAACCACCGCTTAAATTGGATTCGAACTCACCGAATGGGATTATTCGTTAAACGCTTGTATTTGGAGGCCACGGAGAAAAGGGAGACAGCGGGAGGTGGGAAGAAGTTTCCACTGGATTCTTCTTGACCCTTCCCCTTTCCCTGGAACTGTGAACAGGGCCGGTGGCAGGCATGACTGTCATCGCAGAGCACTCACGGCTACCACTGCGACTGATCTGGATGACAACGTTTTTCCTCTCCAGAAAGAGCCTCCTTTTGTGTGTAGAGGTGGACCAAGATCCAACCTCAGCGCCAAATCTCCTAGGGGTTAGTTTCTGAGCCAGGCCAGATTGATCGTGTATGCGGTGGCATAATTCCGCTTGGCACAGGCCTTTGGCGGTTACTGGGCGCTCTTGAAGCTTTAAAGTCTGAGATCTACCATGGGGCGCAGCTTTAAGTTGCAAAGAGGGGAGAATGTCCTATCTGAGCGAGGTTTGTATCTTTGCGGAGGGACGATGCCTGCGGCGCACTGGGAGGGGTAGAGTCACACTTGGAGAGACCACCTGCGATGGGTTTAGCCGTAAACTTTCCCGGGGCTTTCACCTCCCACTGAGGGGGCGCCCCCCCCCACTGCCGCACTCCGTGTCTGGGCTCGGTCGCCCTCCCAAGCCCCCTCCTCTTTCTGAACAGGTGTCCATCCGCCTCCTTCCCTTTCAGACTGGAGCCTCTCAGCCCCTCTGCCCCAACCCAGCCCAGTCTCTCAGTCCACCACTTCCCCGTCTCCTTCAGGCCTCACCGTCCACCACTTCCCTCTCCTCCCCCTAAGCACCCCCAGGTCGATTCCAACTTTCCCCATCACCGTCTACCCCAGCCACATTCTTCTCTGCGCAGAGGGCTTTGCAAAGTGGGCAGCTGGGGCTGTCCCGAAGCAAGTGACCCAGCTAGGGGTGCTGCTGCCTGGAGGCTGTACAACCACAGGAAATAACATATGTAAATAAATTTATTTTTTTATGAATAATAAAATGCATTGTAAAAACTGTGCCCCCTCCAGGGGTGCGCATCAAGATGTGGTCTTTGTTGCCCTTTACTGAGAGGGTTTGGCTGGAGAAGTTAACTTTAAAGGCGCTGGTCTCCTCTCCGCTGGGCATCGGGTGAATGATGGTGATCACTTTTGGATCATTGCATTTCCAAATGTTCTTCGTATTAATCTCTAAAATTCTGATTTTTCACGAGGCAAAGCTTCCTGGAAAGCGTACCTAGAGGCCTAATAAATGGCCTACGAGTCTTTTGAGGCCAGGGCTGCCATGAGAGACACGTACTGGCCAGGCTAATGTAGATGCACGTCTCTCCCCTACACACCCATAACACACTGACCGGCTTCTCCAGCCTTAAAACACACTCTAGTGCTTACAACTGAAAGTAGTTCAAGAACCTTCCAATGCCCACCCACCTTAGTCTGCAAACCTCAGGTGTAACTAGCAGAATAAAACCCTAACATAGGAAGCCCATGTGTATGTCAGTAGCGCTTTTCTTTTTTGAAATGTTTGGATATAGCGTTTTTAACATATACCATCTCATTTTCTGGGTTATATTCTCCTACTTGCCCTGCAATTTTTGCAGGAGGTAATAACTTGGAAACCTCAGAGTACAATGTTTAAAATGCTGCTCTTCTAACAAGCAACATTCACTTTGTAGAACATTTAGAAAAGTGTGAGAGATGAAACTACCTAAACAACTGCCCAGCTTGGAGTTCTGTCCGTTATTGTATAAAACTGAAAGGCAGTTTTCCGTGATCCCAGAGAGAAAATACAGCTGGATTTTAGTTAGAAGGTGAGAGGGAGATGGGGAATGTGGCTTCCTGTTTTGAACTAAACCAAAGGAAAACTCTGGAGAACTGCTCTCTGGCAACATTTTCCAGGGCTTTTGGTCATACCCTGGTGGGGAACCAGCCCTAGTCCAGTCTTCAGCTGCCAGACCAGGCTTGGGTTGGTGTTTACACTGGTCAGTGGCATCAGGCACTTTCTGGTAAAAGGAAACTCAAATTAACTGATGGCAGGAAATCCCAGCATGGTCAGAGGCCCTTCAGCCTTGAGTTCTGGGTGGCCAGCTTTTGGGGGGTGGGTGTCTGCTGGAGGCCAGTTTTTAGTCAAGGTCATTTCCAAAGCTTCCAGCAAATTAGGCCCTTTTCAAGGAGAGGAGACAGCCCAGTATGTTGGTTAAGGAGAACCTGACTGTCTAAGGAACCCAGCTTGAAATCCAAGCTCTGTCATGGGACTAGTGACATGCTGGTCTCCTCTGTGTAAGTTTCTTAACCCTTTGAAGCCTCAATTTCCTTATCTGTAGGATGGGGATCATAACAATGCCTACATGGGGAAAGTGCTTTAGGAATAATTGCACTGAAGCATTGAAGCAGGCCTTCCAATACCCAGTGAGCAGTGTGCCAGATGCTGCCTACTGAAGGAAATGCAGAGACACAGGAAAACACTTGGGGGGGACACTTTCAACAGGGGGGGGCATTTTGGGAGTCCAGTCTTTAAAACTGGGTCCGGTTTTCAGAGGCCTGGATTACACCTATGAAAGAAATATCCCACAAGAGTAGGAAAACCAGAAATATAGCAAACCAGAAGGAATAGCTATTTTATTTGCTTGTAGTGAATACAGATAAAAGCAAGCACTATTGAACAAATAAGAAATTTGAGCCTATCTTCATAAGTAAAAGGATAATATTTAAAATATGTGTTTCTATCATTACATTCTTTCAGGGCATTTTAGAAATAAACTCACCGATTTCTGGCCACTACCCCCCCACCCCCCATGAAGGTGGTCCTATTTCCTAACTCCTGTGTACATACTGTGTTGTACCCTGTAAACTTATTAGAATGGCCACTCTATGATCCTATAATTTATAGAGAAGGGAAACAAACTTTCCCCCAAATTTTCTGCTTCCTGTCCAATGCCAAGCATTATGTTATTAAAAAAAAAGAGAAAAGAAGAAAGAGGCCAAGTTCTGGTAAGTTCTAATGGATCAATCAAGCTTCAGAACACACGCTGCTGTCGGGAGAGGCCTTAGAAACCATAAACCAGGCTTTTCTGTGTCTCTCTTGACTACAGTGTGGTCTAAGTGGCAAAAAGGTATCTCAAAGCCTTTTTTTTTTTCCTTTTCATTTTCCTTTGGGGATTTGAGGCTGAGAAATGGGAGTTGGGGCTGGAGAATTGAGAGGCGGGGGGATTAGGAATAGAAAAGAAGTTTGTCCTTGGAATAACGTCAATTCAGTTAGACTGCTGTGGGACAAAAGATGAGGGAGAAACAGGCTACGGAGTATAATGTAAAATGAACTTAGCAACAAACAAAATGAGTGCATTGAAAAACATTCTTCCAGGGGCTTTCTGTGAAATGAAAGCATTACGTAGTATTATTAGTGATACTGACTCAACCAAAGAGAACAAAAATCCCCTTTGACAGACTCTTCTTAAGATGAATATTTTCTAAGAAATGCTTTAGGCACTGTAATTGTGAAACATTTTGGAGTTTCTCTTGGCTGTGGAGTTGATTTGATTTTGTGCATATTCTTTTTGCACTGGGCTTCAGGTTCCAATTTCACTTTAGTCTGGTGGCTCCTTCAGTAGACCCTTGCATTTTATGAAGGGATTATTACAGCCCCTCTCAACTCCTTCAGGACCCTTACAGTTTATGAAGGGATTATTACAGCCCCTCTCCCCTGTAACAATTACTTCAGAGTTAAGACAAATAATAAGGACATTCCTCCCATCCATGAAAAAAAAAAGAAAGAACTAACTGGAACACATCTTATTTTAAAAGGTAATAGGCATATAATTAGGCTAATACTGCTGAAAAATATTAAAAATTAAAATGATAACTAAGAATCACATTTGGAAGGACAAAACCAGATAACTTCATAATTGACTTCTCACCACCAAGCCTCTAACTTATGGGAAAATCCAGTGGGAGGTACCAGATTGGCTCCCATTGTAACTGAATACGTTGTAACCGATGTAACTGGCTGCATCTCTCTCCAGTGGGAATTTCTGCATACCACCTGTGGGCAACCAGGGGGGTTGCATCTTTGCACTCACCACTCTCCATTCTTCTTCTTTATTCTGTCTGCCATTTATATCATCTTTCTTCTTTCTCCCACAGCAATCAAGATTGAGCCAGAGAAAAACTTCAAACCCATGACTCTAAGAAGTTCCAGAAAAGTAGCCAGAGCCAGAGATACACATGTAATCATGCCACTTTGGTGCTAGTTACCTCAAACCATCTCAGCCTTCCTCCTTGTTGGTTCTGCTGTCACCACAATAGCTCTGGCCCAGCCGGGGGCCTCCCTTGCTTGTGGTAAAGAGGGTCATGGAACAATTATGAGCATTAGGCAAAAATGTTATCTGTACTGACTGGTACTAACTTTTAGTAGTGGAATGAGAGGCAAGTGGGGAATAAAGGAGCAAGAAGTTTTTACCTTTTTTGGTTGATTTTAAATGTTTGTATATTTTAAATCCACCTTTGGAATTAAAAAAAAAAAAAACTTCTATTGGAACAGGTTGCAAGCTGCCAGGTGGGATGTAGCTGGCTCCCGCCCCACATCTCCTACCTCTGCGGCCTCCTGCACCTTCCTCCTCTTCTGTGAGGCACAAATAATACATCCAACCTCACTGGCCATGGGTGAGAATGGATTAAATTAGAGCATTTTATTAAGCATTTGAGAAGTGTTCCTTAAATGCTGCTGCTTTTCTTCCCCCAAAATAAAACCCTTTTCTCTTATAATAGTGTAGACGTGCTTTATCCTCATCTTCTCCTATTACTACTCCCTTTGCCCCTTGTGTCACTTTCCCCTTTAATGTCACAACTAGTTTCTTTACACTGACCTCTCTTTTTGTCACTAAAGAAAAATTGTTATCTTTTTTCTTTTTTTTTTAATGAGTCAAGGTCTCACGCTGTCACTCTGGCTAGAGTCCAGTAGTGTCATCATAGCTCACAGCAAACTCAAACTCTTGGGCTCAAGAGATCCTCCTATCTCAG